CAGTTGTTGCTCTGACTAGAAGTCAGTTTATACCAAGGCCATTTGGGAAACAAAATAGTGAATTCTGGGAGTGATCTCAACCACCCCAACTCCAAAACATCATGAGCAAGATGGGTGGTATATGTGTGTCTGTCTGTTTGCCTTTCTCCTCACATCAAATAAACCATTTCAGAATTAAACTACCCCAGGTAGTCAGAGAATAAAGGTAACCTTCAAAATCAAGAATGGCATTAAGGAAAAATAAATATAGAGAAAATCCTTAATTGTACAGAATTACTCTGGCATGAAAGTAGTGTTATGTAGGAACTGAGCATAGTTTTAACCATCACGGAAATGTTTTCAATGTCAGAAACAGTCAAGGAAAGAGCATGGGCAGAGAAGACTAGGGCAGCATGGATTGAGCCTTGAGAAGTAAGTACCTTTATTTGGGTAGAGAAGAAGAAAAAGAGAGACAAGCAGCAGAGATAGATAGGTTCCTAACGATCAGAGAAGCTGCCATATCTACCAAACACAAATTCCAAGGGGCTGACACTGTATTAGATTTACAAAAGAAAGAATAAAGAGGAAAAAGAACTTCCTTCCTCACTTCCCACCCCCCTTTTCAAGGAGTTTAGCATTGAAAAGCCTGGCAGAAATAGGGTGATAGCAGTCCAATGCTTAGAACTCTGCATCTTGGAAATGGTCTTAGTTGTATATCCTTATTGTCTGTCAAAACAGTTTGTTGCTAAATTTCCTATTGGCTTTCTTGTCGCATTTATCTTGTTTTGCAAACTCTTTGAGTTACAGGGTCCTCTCTGTAAAAAATCAATAAAATATATTAAAAAAAAAACAAACAAAAAACAAACAGTTTGTTGCTAAATTTCCTATTGGCTTTCTGGTTTTGCAAACTCTTTGAGTTACAGGGGGTTTCAGAGAAAAAATTCTCATGGAAGGTTCAATGTTTTGGGGTGAAAAATGTGTTTTAAAGGAGACTCTGTATTTGTGTTATATGTATACTTAAGGTTCACACACAACAGTGCATGATTGTAGCTTTTGGCCATGTTCAGGACATTTAATATTTCCTCTAGAGCTGATGTGGAAAGTTGGGCTGCTAATTAGTAAAATATTTTGCAGATGTCTCTGTGGGCTGAGCTCAGCCCTAGGTGACATCAAGGGATAATTTATCAGGTAGCAAATTTTACTGTGTGTATATTGCTATGCAGAAATATCTTCCAAGATCCTTTACTTGAATTGATAATCCAGCTGGAGAAAAAATAACTGGAAGCACACAAGTTGTATGGACAACTTGGATTCACTCAGTATGTAGAAGTATTTCTGTAAATATGATACATGTGAAGGCATGTGAAAGATATTACAGATAGCTGATTCTAGAGTGTATTATTTTGCAGTGAGGAGAGTAAGAGGGTTGGTTGCTTCCCCTTTGTGATCTCATAGTTCTCTGCTTTTATTCCAGCATGTAATAAACATTGGGACTACTTGCTATCTTATTCATTTATTTAATTACTCAACTGATATTTATTTAAATAGTGAATGCTCATTAGGTGTAGGACTTTGAGCTAGATGCTAGGGATAGAGAAGTAAATAAAATCCTGCCCTAAAAGAGCTTTTTGCTTAGGGCGGAAGATAGGAAATGTATTTATTTTTTTTTAAATATAATTTTATTGATTTCAGAGAGGAAGGGGCTTTTATTCCAGCATGTAATAAACATTGGGACTACTTGCTATCTTACTCATTTATTTAATTACTCAACTGATATTTATTTAGGGAATGCTCATTAGGTGTAGGACTTTGAGCTAGATGCTAGGGATAGAGAAATACATAAAATCCTGCCCTAAAAGAGCTTTTTGCTTAGGGCGGAAGATAGGAAATGTATTTAAAACACAGCATTTGCTAAAGTTGAGCCTTTAGCCAGAGCCTAAAATTGCTCAATACATAGCTACTAAATGTGTGAAAGTATGCATAAAGTGCTAAAGAATATAATACTGGGTCACTGTGGCAGTCTCCCTTCCTAGCCATGGAAGAGCATTTTCTTGTTTATTGGCAAAGCTGTCACCATTTAATTGGTATCAGATTCTGACTTGCACAAGTGACATTCTTCACGTCTAAAGCCCTGGGGAGTGCGGGGTTACTGCGCAAAGATGTATTTTTCAAATGTTTCTGTGAAGTTGAACTAATTGCTGCAATGGGTGATGGAAAAGATACGGTACGTTCCTTTTCGTCTCGTCCGTATTTCAGAGCTAGTCTTACCTGCGAAGGAACTGGGAGGCCAGAACTGGCCCGTTCTGCTGGCATTTTGTAATTCAGAAGAATAATTAGCCAGCTGAGTGGGGAGTAACTGAATGCCCTGCTGTGGTCTCCGCCCTGTGAGTTAGCTACACAGACGGGATTTTATTAAAAAAAGAAAAGAAAAAAAAGAATATAATACTGGGCACTAGTACAAACCTGTCAACGTAAGAAACATCCAAACCTGTAAGGATTTTTATGAGTTTATTTGAGCCAAACTGACAACAATTGCTGGGAAGCCAAATCTCAATGTGTTATTGGTGGAAGTGGGGGATTGATCCCTTTCCCCACTTGGTGTTAGGGGTCAGATTCTTACGATACCTTGAAAAAAAGATTTTTCTAAGACTTGCGTGGAAGGATAAGTGATCTTTTATTTTATTTTATTTTTTTTTACGTGGAATTACATCCAGTTCTGAAGATGTGCAGGTTATTTGAGCCAAACTGACAACAATTGCTGGGAAGCCAAATCTCAATGTGTTATTGGTGGAAGTGGGGGATTGATCCCTTTCCCCACTTGGTGTTAGGGGTCAGATTCTTACGATACCTTGAAAAAAAGATTTTTCTAAGACTTGCGTGGAAGGATAAGTGATCTTTTTTTTTTACGTGGAATTACATCCAGTTTTGAAGATGTGCAGCTGAGGATTCAGCAGGACCAAAAACAAAGCCAGCGTCCAAAGTTTCCATTACATGTGGAGTTGTGTCCCGTACAACATTAGACTAGTTGCAGTCCATTAGTTCATCGTGTGTAGAGAGAGAGAGAGAGAGAACGAACATGAGAGAACATGAGAGAACACGAGAGAACACGAGAGAACGAGAGAGAACTTTTTTGTTCAGGAGTTTTTATGTATCTCAAATCTTCCCATGCTTGCAGTGGACACACCTGTTCTGTCCAATGACCTATTCCCAGGTGTGACTGACGGACAAGTACCTTCCCTATTTCATCCATACTTTACTGGGCATGTATCTATTTGGCCTTCCCTTTACTCCTTTCTAGTTATTCATAACTAGTTAATTTCAACAGTACCAAATGGATTGAGAAAATGCTCCAGAGAATGGCAGGTTTGCACCTTATTATATACATTACAATCATAAAGGGGTTACATGAAATTCATTGGTGATAGATTAGGGAGGGAGGAGAAAGCAAGCAAGGAAATTTCTGAGATTGGATACAAAGTAAAAAAGGAATAGACACACACTTCCTTTACACCTGTGGGTATGGGATCGTTAACAGTCAATAACGTGATAATAATAAGAGCATTTGTGGTCTGCCCTAGCTGGTTTGGCTCAGTGGATAGAGTGTTGGCCTGTGGACTGAAGGGTCCAGGGTTTGATTCTGGTCAAGGGCAGGTGCCCGGGTTGCAGGCTCGATCCCCAGTAGCGGGTGTGCAGGAGGCGGCCAATCAATGATTCTCTCTCATCATTGATGTTTCTCTCTCTCTCCCTCTCCCTTCCTTTCTGAAATCAATAA